TAAAGTTCAAAAGTAGGCTAAACTAATCTAGGTGTTAGAAATCAGGAAAATGGTTACTTATTTGGTTGGGTAAGACATGGTTAGTAGGAGGAATGAAAGGTTTTTAGAGTGCTGGTATTGCTTTATTTCTTGATCTGGAGGTCTATTACATGAGTTCGTTCACTCTGTGACAGTTCATTGATTGTATGTTTAGAACTTACTCATTTTGATACTTCATTTAAAAGTTTACATGAAAAAAAGGAGACTAGAGAAACATCTGTTTGCCTAACTGTAATTCCCCAAGTATTTCTAATCAATGCTGCTAGAAATATATGCAGAGGAAAAGAGGGAAGAATTGGAAATACCCAGCAAAAGAGGGAAGAATTGGTAACACCAGTTTTATTGCTGGTGAATCTTATTATGTATGCATGGTTTTAAATATTGGTGGGGTTGATGGTACATTAGCATGTTCAGGTTGCTTCATAAATGATTTAAACAATAGAAATTCATTTTTGCACAGTTCCGAAGACTGAAAGTCTGAGCTCAGGGTGCCAGCCTGGTAAGGTCCTGGTGAAGAGTCTCTTCTTAGCTTGCAGGTGGCCACATTCTGGATGTGTTCTCACATAGTGGAGAGAGACAGAGATACCTCTCTTGTCCTCTCAGAATGCTACAGTCCAACCAGATTAAAACTCTGTTCTTATGACCTCTTAAAGCCTCATAAAGTCCCTATATCCAGATACAGTCACATTATGAGTTAGACCTTCAACATTTGAATTTTGGAGAGGGGAGGATAACTCAGTACATAGCAGATGGCTACTTATTTTGTAGCATATTACCATATATGTTATCATTAGGAACGTAAGGTCTTTGTCACTCCACACAACAGCAGGTTGCTTGCACTCTTACTTAGGACTTCCTTTGTTCTGATTCATAGAAAAATTGGCTGGGCAACTGCCTTCTGCTTCTGACAAAATTGCAGTCTTGAGTACAAAAAACATTGTATTTTTTAACATATTATTTCTGTTCTTAGTATAGAGTCATACATATAATGGGATTCAACCTCAATGTTTGTTCCATATAAGAGTGGGGTAAGTATTTACATGTGTGTATTTTAATTAAAAGTAAAAGAGAGGTTTGAATTTTCCTCATCCCTCTTCAAAAATGTATTCTTCTAGAGAGGAAACATGAGGAAGGCTTTGTGGGCTGCTGGTAATGTCCTGTTTCTTGATGTGGGCAGTAGTTGTACAAGTATGTTCACTTTAATATAATTTATCAAGTGACACACTGCATACTTTTATATGTTGTAGCTATTAAATAAGTAACATGTACATCATATATAGCTTTAGCTTAATAAGATATTATGTTGGCAAGAATTTATGGAAATAGTATAGCTCATTTAAGCTTGTTGGAGTGTAAATTAGTACCATCTCCTGGGAGGAAATTTGGCCAAATCATCACAATTAAAAAGCCATTTACCCTTTAACCAAGCAATAGCTAGTCTAGAAATGAACTCATAGGTTACTATAAAATGTGAACTCTGTTGTACATTCAATGTTATTCACCACAGTGTTATTTATAATAAAGTTGTAAACAACAGAAGGTGAACAAATCAATTATACATCACATAATGGAATATTACTCAGGAAGAGGGAGACATATCTGTATCTGCTGATTTGGAAGGATCTTCAGGTAAAGAATGTGTAGAAGATACTCCTTTGGTGTTACACATATGTATATATATCAATACTACATAGAGTATCTTCTAGTATATAGGTATACACTAGATATGTATATATATGTACATATATATATCAATAATACATAGAGTATCTCTAGAAAGATTCAAAAAACCAGAAACAGTGGTTGCTTCTGAGTGAATAAGGGGCAAAAGGAAACATATTGTTCACTGTACACTCTAACGAGTGCATATTTCAAATTTTATATGTACATAGACCCAATTAAGGAAAATAAATTAAACCAAAAGATGATTCTTAGCTGTTGTCTCTTATCACTCTCATTTAGGGTCCTGCTAAACTATTCTATAATTGATAATTTTGCCTTTATTTTCTTCTAACAGCCTCCAAATGTATTTCCTGGAGCAAAAGTCAGACTTCTCTTCCATGATAATGGGAAAAGTAGACACGTCACTCTTCTGCTGATGACCTTATTAATTGAGTTTAGACCCCAAGAGAATTTGAACAGATTTTTTTTTTAATGAAACATTCAAAGATTCTTCGCCCTCTTTAGTTTCTTTCCTCCCAGGAGACAGAAAGAGAATGAAAGGCAAGTGTTCCATTTGTCTTTGGTCAGGTTTACAAGTTCTATAAGCTGGTGGTCCAAACGCAAGGAAAGGGAACCTCTGAGGATTGATTCAAATTACAAAAGAAGAGAATAAGTTCAGTCTCACATGTGCCATAGATTTGAAACAAACAGATTTCATGAAGTAAGGTCTTATCTCAATGGCATGAGGATCCAGAGAATTTGGAGGCCTTGCAAAGTAAAACATGATGATATTATCAAAAGTAACTCCTCCAAGGAAGAAATAAAAGAGGCCTCTGAAGAAACTACACCTGTTTCCCAAATCCTTTATGAGAGTCATGGGGCCAAGGATGAGAAGGTCACGCGGGCACATGTGGGAGATATCAGCAAAAAGGCTGAAACCCAGCTTGCAAAATTTGTCATTGACAACTCTTTAAAAGGTATATTCAGAGTAAAAATAGCTTAGATTAGGTGGTGCTGTTGACTTGGAGTTGAGCGATTGTTTCACATAGACCATTCATTTTACCAAGGTTCACTATAGGCAGAACCTAGGATTAAACACCCAGATCTGATCATCAACTCCCCACCTTGTCTCCTAAAAAGCCTGGACTCTAGACCTCTCAAATTCAACAGCCGTACTGCTTCTTGGAAGATGAATGACTTTGGGCAAGTTATTTTACTTGTCCGTGCTTCCATATTTTCATCTGTAAAAGGAAATAATACTAATAAAAATATCTACTTGGTATGGTTGTTATTGAGACTAAAAAGCTCTCCAAAGAAAGTTTGGTACATAGAAGATGTTACATAAATGGTAGCCCGAATATTGATGATTATAATGATGTTGCTTCCAGTTTTTGCATCAGGGATCATCATTTTTAGGGGGTAAAGAGCAGAGCCTGTAGGAGAGGTATCTGAATTGAAATACTTTCTTGATTCTGAGTGTCACATTAAGTTTGGTAAAAGGAACAATTTTCTCATAAGGAGACCTGTCCAGCAACTTCCAGGCTGGTGGCAAGGTTGGAGCTCTCTGACCAGAGGTAGAGTTCAAAGGGAGGTGGCACAACCTACAAGCAGGCTGAAAGCAGTTTCCTCTGGGGCATAGAGGCGGGGCCTAGATGACCTCCAGGGGCCCCGATAATGGTAAGGGTCTATGATTCTGCAAGCTTTTCACATTTGCCTAGCTTTCTGGACTAGCTCTGTGCTCACCTTAGAAGTGAAGAGCATAGTTCTGCCCAGATTTTTCTGCTCCAGCTTTAGTGTCACAATTAAGACTTACAAGTATTTAAGTCGGAGTGGACTTTGGGTTTATTGGTGGACAGTCACACACTTGAAAACGCCCAGGGAACAAAGTTTCAGCTTTGCTAACTGACAAGACTGAGCTCATTTACAAACCCTCTGGCCAGGGGACACTTCATCCTTAAAAGAGGAATAGAAATCTTTGGGGGAAGGGAACATATCAGATAACATTGTTGCCTCCCTCTCTCACAAAGGTTGGTTAACAACGACGCGCCAGGACGCCCACCAAGCCCTGGCTACGCTACTAGGTGGGGCTGAGATCGCGCAGTTTTCTGGCTAGGGGCTGGAGACTTCCTCTGCAGGGCACTTCCCGGGCCTTTCATCTTTCCCCGAGAGCTGGCAAGGGCTGTGTTTCCCTTTCAGTGTATTCCTTCTAGGTTTATTTATTGTATCTGCTTGCTCCTCTCGCTGGCTTGGAGGTCAGAATGCGAGTAAGCGATGGGACCGGCGTCCCAGGGTCTCTCCTCTCAGGCGCACTACTGCAAAACCCGGCAGAAAGAGTTTACCAAGTTCTAAAGCAGGAAATTCAGGAAAAGAGAAGGCGTCTTTCCCCAGTCGGAGCCAACCCAGGAATCCCGATCCCGTAATCAGTGACCAGGACCCCCGTCAAGTCCCTAGCCCCACCCTAGACGGTGGGCGCCTCCTTCCCCGGGTCCTCTCTGTCCTCCAAGGCGCTGGAGCTGGCGTCCCTCTCCATGACGCCAGGTTTAACCTGGAGCTTCATCTCCTCCCCTCGAGGGTCTCAAGTTGGCTTCCTCTGCCGGGAAGGGCCCCGCTCCCTCGCGCCAGCTCCTAATCTCCACCTGGCGCCCCAGTCTGAGCAGCCTGGCCACAGAGCCCCATCTGCGCGCCTTAAATCCCATTGATCTTCTTAGCGCTACAGCTCCGCCGCCCCCGTCCCCTCTTTCCCTCACCCCCACCCTACTCGCAAATCTCAGCCCCCGCCCCCCTCATCCTCTCTAGTGCGCTGGACAGACGAAAAGGGACCTTTGAGGTGTTAGGAAAGTCGCCGTGCTAGTTGGACGCGACCTAGAAGGGTGCGGTAGAGGAGGGTCGAGGAGGGTCGGGGAGGGTCCAGCCAAGGGAAGGGGAGGCACCTCAAGACTTCAGGGTCGCCGAGGGTCCTGGACTCGTGGTCACTTAAACCCTGCCCTGCATCTCTCGGGGTTGAAGCTGGCGCTTCCCAGGGCCCCAAACTAGGTCACCAGCAGGGAAAGGCTGAACGGGGGAGGGGGGCGGTCACTGGAGGGAGTGAGGGGCGGGCTGCCTGCTCCCGAGGTGGGCGAGGAGTGAATTGTTTCAAGGACTGCCCCTCTCACTTGCACTCGCCTGTAATTTCATCCCGGGGCTGGTCGAGTCTCCCTCCCACTGCTGGTCCCTCCCAGTCGGTCTCCTCCGTCGCCCACGCCCCCTCCCGTCTCCCCCCACCCCCGACGTCCAGCAGCTAGGAAGCCGGCTTCACTCCCCCTTGCCGACCTCCCGGCTGCTGTCCTGCCGCCTCCTACTACCCTGCGGTGCCTGCTCCAACCCGTTAGCCCTCCACTTCCTCAGCCCAACAGTGAATCCTCCTGGGCGGCGGGCCCCACGCCCCCCACCCCGGAGACGCCCTTTCCCTGTGCGCCCGAGACTTGGAGAAACTTTGCGGACGCCGCCACTGAAATGGATTTAATACAAGATGTCTTGCTCCGGCTCTTGCTCCTGGCTTCCAGCCTTCAACCCTGCGCTGAGTCGCTCCGGGCAGCTCTCCGAAAATCAGGTAAGACGCTCAGTCCGCCCGCGGGCACCACGCCCCGCGCCCCCGTCCCGCTCCTCGGTGAGGACTCAGGGCGTGCAGCGATCAGCCTCTTGTCCCCTGACCCGTGTCAGCTTAACCCGCTTCAGCTCAACCCAGAGCTGAAGACAGACGCGAGCCTCGCCCTTCCTCCTCCTCCCCCGCGGCCCAGCCGGTTCTAGGGATATTTGTTTGTTAAAAGAATGATCAATTTTCCAGACACGGTAAAGGCGGTGGTCTCTGTCTCTGAACACAGCTGAGAGTTGGGGCAGCGATCAGGCTGTCTCAATTACAGAGGATTGCAACTGTGCGGGGATGTCTCTAAACATCTTATTGGATTCAGGATGTCCAGAGCCCAGACGTTTCCTGTTAAGTGTCCGAAGGGTTGCCTCTGCTGATCTCCGGTCCTGCCCACACTCTATGTAGGGATGTGGACTCCGCTGTTAGGATCCTTTCCCATTCTGGGGCCATTTGTTCTGAAAGGAGCACCCAGTGGGTTAATTTCCCCGTGTTTTAACGCCTGTCTTTGCTCTGCTCTTTAAACAAAGATGTATGCATTGTAGGCTGTTGCAAGGATTGGGGAAAACTTGGAACCGTGATAACTTGTGTTTCTTCTAGTTATTTAGGTAAAAAGTCTTTGTGTATTTTCGTCTACTTTGATTCGGCCTGAATTGTGAGGTTATTCAAATTAGAGCATTCTAAACAATAAAGTTCTAAACATTGTTTCTTGAATAACGATTTTTATTCTTTTCTGGGACCATATTTAGAATTTCGAAAAATCTGTTTTTTCTTAGCTTACTTTGTAAGCGAGGTTGTCTTATGGGATTAATTATATTTTAGGAACAATAGAAAACAATAAACTTTATTTGAATGCAGTCTGCAGAACCTCACAGAAAGTGCAGCTTGTCTTCACAAATGTTTCTATGAGAAAAAGCCAAACCAAAGACAATTTATCAGAGGGCGAGGAAAATAGTCTTAGCAGGTTCCTATTTGGCTGCTTGAACATTTTCACATGGGATTTTCTCTCTCTGGAAATATGACTTGTTGCCTTTCAGCTCAGGAAACACCCTACAGCCTTCAGGCTGTATCTCTTACCACCAGCTCCTTGTTACCAGCCTTGAAATTTAGGGTCATTATCATAATCTGCACCACACTTAAATTATGAACCATTCCGTTTAGCACTGTTTAATTCATTTTGGATATAATAGCTGCACTTAAAAGTAGTATTATATTAAATTGTTTCACTGCTTCCAGGCACACACACCTGCACCTTCAAGGAATTCAATGAAGAGCTTCTTTCTAACTTTCCTCCTTAAGATTATCACATCATGATCAAATGCATTCTGCAGGTTTTTTCACATAAAACCACCTAGTCAGAATTTCTGAACAAGGCATAATTATACCTGTAGTTCTTAAGCACGAGCAGTGTATGCAATGTTCTTTTAGGGACAGGTTTGAATTCATTTAAGCAGAATTTTCAAAAGTATTTTATAAAAGCCTGCCATCTAAAACTGCTCATGTAGTTCACAATATTTCCCTTCTCGATTTTTGTTCTCCTGAAAATATTTTTTACATGGTTCATTTAGGGTCTCACTCTAATACTCACACCATGAATATGCCATGTTGACCTCTTTGATTTTACTTGAAGCATAGATAGGGTTTTGATTGATCTACCTTTTAAATATTCTGGCAGATCAAATTTGATAATTGCATCAAACATGAGGTTGAAAGAGTGTTTAGACTAGGTTCAGCCTAGAAGGGTTTTTCATTACTTTATAATTTTATCCAGACACTGGCTTTCAGGTTGGAAAGCTGCTCAGATTAAAATGACAGCTACTTCATAAACTTTAGGGAAAATTTTCCTCTTGGGCTCATTTATGTCCCTTGGAAAGCCTAGGTTTTGATCCGGAAAATTGGTCCAGATTAAAAAGTAAATGTGCCCTGCTTGGCTCTGATGTGAACAGTAACCAGCTAATTTATAATCTTCCCCAGACACCAGCAAATCCTGCTAGCATCTATATGGGAATTTCTTTGTACCTCAATAGAAATTAGTTCATGTATAGTACTTTAAGGCAGCATGGGCACCATGCAGGCATATTAAAGCAGTTGTGTTTTACTTGAATAACCATTCCTATCTTCTGACACCCCTAAGTCTACTTTTGATTAGTACAGGTTTGTTAGAGAAGTATTGAATTCAAAATTAACCCGAAAATTCCCTATCCCTACCTACTTCTGGTGAGAAAAAAAACCAACAATAAATATGAGTCTAATTTGGATCTAACACAAGCAACCATTCTCTCTACACTAGAGCTGCTCTTCTTCTGGAATTGAACAATTAATTAAGAAATCTCTGCATTTTCTAAGACTCACAAGAAATGATGGTTTTCAAATTAAGTCAAATTAAGTCATAATAACTAAGTGCTTGCTACACTAGTCTAGGAATTTGACATGTGCTTGTTTAATCAACCCAACAGCCCTGTGACATGGGTACTGTTATTATCCCTGTTTTGCTAAAGGGGAAAGTGTGGCTTAGCGATATTAACTATCTCAGCCCAAGTTACACAACTAGTAAGCAATGAGATGGGAATTTAGGCTGAGATTCAGGACTGGAGACTGAGCCCACAACTGCCCAGTTTGCAGAGGTATGTAGCCTGTTTAGTAGGGTGTCCTGCTCTATACCACGGGACAGAGCCCTGGAGGCCAGGCAGATGGTGTCTTCTCTGTTGTTTTGTATGGGGAGCTGCTCCTAAACATTTATAGGTGAGATTTGCCCAGTCCTCCAAAGAAAAGAGAGTGTGTGTAATACTAACATGGAGTTTTGGAAGCTACTATCTATTGACCTCCTTTATAAGAAAGGGGTGTAGCCTTGTGGGGTGATGATGAGCCATTGGCTTCTCTTGTTGCGCTCTTGGGGCTTGTGAGGGCCAGGTGGTCGAGTACAGTACCTGAAAGTAGGAAAGGGGGCCTCTGAAGTGTGAGAACAGCATAGGGCCCTGTCATTTCCCAGGGCTTTCAGGATGTGGAAACATATTTATCAGAAGGGAATAAAAACCCTCATTTTGCATCTGGGCTGAGGGTGATTGACTTGCCTGTGTTAACATTAGATGCTGAGCTTCGGCCTATGGTACCCAGACTTCCTACCCTCCAGAGTGGTCTCCATCCCAGCTCTTCTCCTTTTCCTGAGTCCACTAGGAAAAGGAGGGGGGATGGCTGCATTTCTTTCTTTCTTTCTTTTTTTTCCAAGACACAGTCTCACTTTGTTGCCCTTGGTAGAATGCTGTGGTGTCACAGCTCACAGCAACCTCAAACTCTTGGGCTCAAGTGATTCTCTTATCTCAGCCTCCAGAGTAGCTGGGACTACAGGTACCTGCCATGACATCTGGCTATTTTTAAAAGAAGGGGTCTTGCTCTTACTCAGGCTGGTCTTGAACCAGTGAACTAAGGCAATTCACCTGCCTGGTACTCCCAGAGTGCTGGGATTACAGGTGTGAACTGTATACCACACCAGGCCATGGAGGGCTGCATTTCTGCTATGGACAGGAAGAAGGGTGTGGGAAACACACATGTCTGGGAAACCAGCATGCAACAAGCCACCTATATTCCCATGGGCAGCCTGGTAACTCTTGCACTTATTATCATTTTTTAAGTTAGATTTATTGAGGTATAATTTACATACAATAAAGTTCATCCTTTTTAGGGATACAGCTTGATGATTTCTAACAAACATATACAATAATGGAATTAACGCCACAATTGAAATATACAGCACAGAACATTTTCATTACCCTAAAATATTACCTTGTGTCCCTTTGTAGAAAACCAACCTGCTTCCCAGTTCCAGGTGATCTCTGATCTCACTTTGCTTCTCTGGTTTTATTTCTTCCAGAATGTTGTGTTCTGTGTGTTCCTTCTTTCACTGAACCTAATGCTTTTAAGATCCTTCTTGGTTGTTGCATATATCGGTAGTTTGTTCTTATGTCACTGCTAAGTAGTGTTCCACTACAGACCATAGATTACCACAGTTTGTTTAACTGTTGGCTAGTAGTGGACTTTTCAGTTGTTTTCAGTTTTGTGCTATGATAAAGTTGCTACGTACATTCACATGCAAGTCGTTGGGCAAGTATTTATTTTCATTTCTCTTGGTAATTAGAAGTGGAATCAGGTGTATGTTGACCTTCATAAGAAATCACCAAACTGTTTTCCAGAGTGGCTGCACCATAGTATGCTCCTACCAGCAACAATGAACTATATGGTTGCTCCTAATACTCCCTGGCACTTGGTACAGCGGGTTTTCTGTTTGTTTTAGCTATTCTGACAGGGGCATAATAATGTCTCTTCCCAGATTTAATTTGAATTTCCTTAATGACTTTATATTGAACATTTTTTCGTGTATTTATTTGCCATCTGAATCTCTTCTTTAGTGAAGGGACTCTTTACATCTTTTGCCGATTTTTAACAAATTGGGATGCCTTTTTTTATTATTGAGTTTTGAGTGTTCTTTATATATTTTGGATGCAAGTCCTTCATCAGATATGTGTTTTGTAAGTATCACATTCCAGCATGTGGCTTATCTTTTTATTTTCTTAATGGTGTCTTTCAGAAAGTTGATTTAAATTTGAGAAAGTGCAATTTATCATTTTTAATGGCTTTTGTTTTATTTTTCTTTTTATAAAACTTAAGCCATGTTTACAAAGATATTCCCCTATGTTTTATTCTAGAAGCTTTTTAGGTTTTATATTTAGGTCTATGATGGATTTTGAGTCAATTTTTGTATGAGGTGTGAGATACAAGTTAAAGTTTATTTTCAGGCTTTGTTTTATAAGAAATCTTATGCTTGGTGGGAAGCGGTGGTGGTGTCTCAGAGGCAAAGTCATCTCTGGCTTAGAAGGCTGTCTGTAGCCCCAGGGCCACACCAGCAGGCCCCGTTAAGCCCTGCTCATATTTTCATGCAGAGGGTATAAGTAGAAGGTCCTGCCTTTCCTCCT